CTCGGCTCCTGACGAACCGTCTGTGGTGCCTCCCGGTACCACGTCTGAGGTTGGACCCTCGGCTCCTGACGACGAACCGTCTGTGGTGCCTCCTGGTACCACGTCTGATGTTGGACCCTCGGCTCCTGATGAACCACCTGTGGTGCCTCCTGGTACCACGTCTGAAGTTGGAGCCTCGGTCATTGACAAACTGCCTATGGTGCCTCCAGCTGGTGCCACGTCTAAGGTTGGACCCTCGGCCATGGTTCTGAATGGTCTGCTCCGGACCTGGTAGCCACTGATGTCGGGATATGACCACTGTGCAGGGCACCCAAAACGTCAGACTATTTTTTGTTCAACTCGGAGTGTATCGATGCGGCGAATCTATTCCTCAAAATGACAACTTAGAGATTCAATATATGCATCATTCGTGGGTGGAATCATTAAGAAACATTATTTTTCTCAGTAGTCATGATGAACAGGAGGAAATTGCTTACTTGGCAGAAGAAAACTCATTTCTATATCTAATTGTTTCCTCTCTCAAGTGCCAGACAATTACAATCATCAACATTTTCATTGGTGTGACCGAAACCAATATTATGTTGGCGTACTTCTTATTACACCAAGAAGGTTTATGTTTTGGGGAGCGCGCGCGTGTCACGGTGTGTGTGGGGGGGGGCGTTTCTTGATATTTTCACGGTGGCCTTGGAGACATTATTCTCAACATCAAAAGACGGTGTCTTCTTCTCCACACAATTCCCCAACCGTCCCTCGCTATCCGTAATCCCCTACAGTATAGCAGTATAGGTTATAAATCTACATGACACAGAAGTAAGCTTTGCAGCATTTCATTTTCTTCCTAATCGTTACATAGAGCTTGCACTTCAACACTTGCTACTACGTACAGAAACACAAACACACGTATTGCTGGACACTCCTATCTGAAGAACAACTCGCCACAAAAACGCTGCGATACCTTACATGACAAACGTGCTGAACAAACACTTTAACTGACAATCTGTAAATACCGACGTGACCTCATGAATTCTATTATATTTACACTATACAATTTTTATCACATTTATATTTATTGATTGTAAATCGAGTTTGATTGATTGTCTATTTTTAACTCCTTAGCGCTTTTAATCTATTTCATTGTAAACGCCTGCCAATTCAGACTTCTTGTCTGCAAGAAGATGTGTAAATGAAGTTTCAAAGTTTCAAATACTTGTTTCTACATAGTCTACTATCTACTAGATGGGTTGGATTACCCATGTTTTTAACAAATCACTCCCTACAGTTAGTGAGATGAACCTAACTGTGATTTATTTGGTAAGATTATTCAACATTAGAAATCCCTACAGCCTAGCCAGCTTTTTTGCAGCAAAGGCAGATGATGATGATGAAGATCATGGAACCACTGCCCCCACCACCAACATACACCCAGACGGACACTGTAGTGCCCCCCTGTTGGATGTCAGAAGAGCCACCTGTGAAAGGAATGAAATATTCAGTTTAAAGATTTCCAAAAAGTTTTAATTAATTCCTAAATTCCTTCTGTTCTTTCCAACACACTGCGCTAAAAGTTATCATGAAAGTTCATCTGTGTTGGTAGTTACATGTTTAAAGTAAAAACTTTTGGTCCAACACAAAAAATACCTTTGACCCAGTGTTGACGTCACACTTCAAAGAAGCCACGTGACAAGCTTCACTGGGCCAGTCTACTGAGGAAGACCAGAGTGACTGGTCGAAAGATCTACGTGAGAGAATTTTTTTGTGTTGGACCAAAAGTTTTAACTTTAAACATGCACTAAAAGTTGTTGAATTTACAAATGGCAGTAAATGTAGTAAGAAAAAGGTTGGCAATTTTTACTCTGTAGACAGTACCGGCGTTTACGGATTAACAATGGTAGTAAATGAAATTACAGGACTTGATTAATGAAAACAATTCGTTTTGTAATGGCCTTGAAAAAGAATCACTAGTATTTTACTCTATAGGTACGACAACAATGGTGGTAGGATTCTATTTCGTCCATCTAATAGAATTGCGCAATATGCGCAACAAAAATACTGTGAGTCATACTAATTAAGTTTCAAGATTGGCAAACTAACTATGGTTACGTCTCAAACGGTTTAAAATGTTGGTAACGTTAGAATAGTGGAGAGTTACAGACACTTAGAAATGGAAATTCTCTGGCCAATTTTTTATGCCGATTTCTACTCTGTATTCAGCCTGCAAATGAGTCTGGTGGAGAGTAACATACAGACATCTACAAAAATATATAAATTCACCTCCGGATCCGCTTCCCGGTTTGTCGACATCACAGCACCGCCCCTGGTACTGTGAGGTACAGAGGCAGCCGCTACCGAACGGAGTCCCGCTGTTATAGCAGAACCGGTTACAGGCCGCCGTCTCTGTACCCGCAGTACTGCAGCACGAGCCGCCGCGGGTTCGGGTCCTCGTGCCTTAAAACATAAACATTGATTTTCAAATAATTAATGTACGTACAAACATCACTTCACCTTTTGGGATGAAAATTGTGAGACTTGGTAAACATTGATCAAGGATAACTGGGGGTTTGGTGTTCTTCGGCTGATTAGCTCATTCTAAAAACGGGGATAATTCAACCAGATCGGCTATGTTGTCTATATGCAATCAGAAAATAGCACATAAAAGCTCCCAAAGACCCTGAAGACCCCCAAAACCCCCAGTTTTTGGCATGCTATGGAGGCTAGATTAAGGACATTATAGCGATAATGTCCAAAAAATTGATTAATTTAATCTGAAGACGATAGCATTACTTTCTAAGTATATTACTAAGTATAGTTAAAGACCTTACGAAAGTCGCTGAACTTTTGTTGTGCCAATAAAGTTCTTCTATAAATGTCCCTGACAAAAGGAAGACAGTGCAATTCTAGTTTGATGGATCGTTAATAGTTTTTATCAAAGTTACGCCCAATAACAATTTGAAAACGTCACGACACGGGGTGTCTTTGTAGGAGTTATCGTAAAAAGGCTCCCATGAACATATTGCGAACTGAGATACAAATTTCGCCGATTTACCTGCATTTCCACAAGGATCAGTACACGAGCTCCACGGTCCCCAACTGTTCCAAGTACAGGTACACCCGCCGGAACCCGATGTACTTTAGAGAAGGATACGAAAACGCCTAATAAGTGATTTTTCTGGTCGTTCAGAATAAATCTTCTTGAAAAGGCTATTCACGCGTCTACAGAACTGAAAAAAAACACAACTTCCTTGTTGTGACGCAGTACATAAATACGAAATGAAACTTCTTTTCTGCTGCCCGAAATTCACATTTTAGGAAACCTAACATACATACTTGTTGAGTTTTAATATAAAGCTATAAACAATCCCCTTTTACGTGTTTTCGCCACCTACCTGGCCCTGAAAAGGCAGAGAAAAAGAGGCACATGTTCCATGTAAGACATCACGAATTTAGCGCGGCGCGCATCCAGGCAAGCGGGGTTCCTCGCGCCCACTTCCCGATCGTATTCGCCATGCCTGCCCGGCGGCACTGCGCCCAGTGCGTACCAGTGCGCCCAGTGCGCCCAGTGCGTACGAGTGCGTACCAGTGCGCCCATTGCGTACCAGTGCGCCCAGTGCGTACCAGTGGCATAGAATGTGAAATATCACAAGAACACCCGTCACCCAAATAACGAAATCGCCAGGACACGTAACCAAAGTTTCGGAGCGTAGCGTTTGTGTAAGCCATCACGAAACCGCCGGCGAATGCACTTGGGTACACGGCGCCAGCGTTGACACAACCCGACTAGACAGCGTCCGAGCGTGCGGCAGACACTGTGCGACGCATCACGACCGGCAACGCATCACGAATTTGGCGGGACACGCCAGACTTGCAATCCGAGTGATGCTGCGCCGGATTTCGATAGACGTTCGTGACTGCTGTCACAAAATCGCCGGCAAACGCATCACGAATTTGCGGGACACGCCAGACTTGAAAACCGAGTGATGCTGCGCCGGAGTTCGATAGGCATTCGTGACTGCTGTCACGAAATCGACGGCAAACGCACCTCACGGGTACACTGTTTCGGTACACGGCGCCAGCGTGTACAAATCCCGATACAAAGGCGTCCGAGCATGCGGTAGCACGACATTCGACGCATCATGGCCGGCAACGCATCACGATTCTGCGGAACAGGCACGGCCTATCGACCGAGCGACGAATGCTTCACATTGACACGAAGAAAAGAGTTTGGGCTGCTGTAGTGAAGTCACTGTAGTCAGTGTAGTGAAGAATACCGAGAGGTGACAGAAATGGGAAGCCCGATTTTGTAGTGGTAGTACCTGTAGTATCTGTACGTCAGGCATATAATTTAGTAAGAAACCAGAATTTCTGCTACAGTAGAAGGAAAGCTTCCAAGGGTCCAAAATCAGTTAGGCCCAGACAAATTTATGTTGTGTTTCTGGCCCTTAGAAATCAGATAGGGATTCGTTTTTATATTTCAGTCCATACCATGGTATGGATGAAATATATTGTGTTCTCTCATGTTTCTTCTCCTTCTCCTCCTTCTCCTGCCACACAGTCAAAGGGATTCAACTCTGTCATTTTTTAGCCAAATGACCTGAAATTTGGCATAGAGGTAGAGTGGGCCAATACCCCCAGGCGTTTTTTTCATTTTTTTTTATACATGCCTTTGAAAAATTTTTATGAAGGTTTTTTGGGGCATTTTTCGCCAAAAAATGG